GGAGTTAACACTAGCTTTATTTGTACATGTTTTTAACTTGAAAATGCGGCGTAAGTCTTTTTTTGTTTTGTTAATTAGATGTTATAAATTGAGTACTTTTAATACTGTTCATGGATAATGGATGCAAAATATATCAATATTTAATGTAAGTTACTTAAAATAAAGTTATATTATTCACAATCATATTCATAATTTGTAATTTATTTCCTAACAAGAAACTCTACTGAAAGCAAAATTTTGAAAGATATTTGAATACTTTGCATATCAAATAAACTTTAAATATGACAGGATACGAGTGCTTTCTTAAAAACATGGAAGTTACAAAATTTTGCATATGATAATAACTTTAAAAAAAAAAAATTTAATTAATTAAATTAATAATTAGAATTCTTGAATACTTTAGAAAACATGAGTTTTAAAATGTTTTTAAGTTCAATAATTACTGAAAGATACTTTTTGCAATTTTTTTTCAAAATATTTATGTGTGTTTCATGTTTAATTCAAAGTGTTTATATCTCTATCATTTGCAGTTATGCGAAGTTGTGGATTGAAAAAAAATATGTTTATCATTTCATCGTAGTTCAACACAAGAGACAGTTGTCTTTTCTCACAATTACTCTGACCTCCAGTTGAAACTCAACAATGAAGATGGTTCCAAGAAAAATGATTTGGCAATATTAGCATTAAAATAATTTTTTTTTACCCATTGTCAAAATGGGTATTGCTTTGGGTTTGATGGCGTGCGCACCTTATTTGGGAGTCATCACACTTTTCAACTGTGTTCAAGAGTAATAGTATACTGTGCGCATGCATCGTCATTGCATGCGTTGCTATGGCGACCGCTGCTGTTTAATAATTTTTTTCAGAATTCTTTTTTTTAATATTGTCTTACAACTTCGTTGATATGAACAACTTCGATCAACTTCAAAACCATATTCTCAGAAATAAAATTGCACAAGTCATAAAAACTCAGGCCAACATAAGCATTAGTAAAAACACGACACAGCATGATCAAATAAAATAAAAAAGCAGTTGAAAATTTTGGAATTTCTTGGAGTTGATTGTTTTTACCTCTGAATTTTTTCTTCTAATTTCCCCAGCGAATATTTTTAATGTTTTTATGTAATGTTAGTTTAAATTATTTTAATATTCATTTTGTGATTTACTTATTTATAATTACAATCTTGGCGGTGATTTTAAATGATACAAATATGAATACTGAAGAAGGAAAAGAATTTCGTGACGCCTTAAGAAATGTCTATTGACTGGAATTGAAAACCAAAGACCAATGACAATTTTTGTTCATGAAGATCGATTAAGGAAGAAAAAGAAACAATTGACTAATGGGTAACCAGTGATTGCAAAAATACAATCACTATTTTCCTCCTTTCGTAATTTTTAAAACTTTTTTTTTTCACTTTTCTGTATTTTTGGGTAAACTATATTTGAGGGTGCCCCTTGATTCTCGTCAAGTTGCGATCACTGTTGATCGCCAAGCTGGGCGATGTTGAAACCCAATCGTGATTCTGATTGACTTAGATTTTAGCGTTACTTTCAAATGCTAAACGGTATATGTAATGTTAGGGGTCCATTATGTCTACATTGGATACCGGCTGGTAAGGTTACTTTTGCTTCTGGTCAATGAAATTGAAGGCATGTGGGCAGTCATAAAAAGGGGCTTCAAAAAAAATATCACCGCCAGTCCGGTACCACAGACGCCATTTTCGATTCGTATTTCGCCGAACTTATGTGGTGATGATACACAGATTCTATTCATGATAATTTTACAAGAGTGGCGCTAGACTTAGCCCGACGGGGGGTCAGCAATGCCCCGACAGGGGGGCTAAGATAATTTTGAAAATAAGCAATAATTTTTAATATACGAAAAATAATTAATATGACATAGACATATTTGTTCTGATAAAAAATTTATCATGATTCAAATATTAACAAAGAAAAAATATAAAAGTGATATCTGAATAAATAAACAATATNTTTGCAAATGAATTTTTGAAATTTTTTAGAAAAAAAATGTGACCAGACTATTTTCCCGACGAGACTTTAAATTTTTCCCGATGGGGGGGCTGACCATGCCCGTCGGGGGTGCTCCAGCCCCCCCCCTGACCCCCTACTGGCGCCGCCCTTGTAATTTTAGACAATATCTAACTGCTGTTAGAGAATTCAGCGCACCTAAATCTGAGGATATTCAAGCTTAATGAAGAAGTTAGTTGTTTTTTTCCTTTTCTTTCTGTGCTTGCTCCAATAATTTTTGTTTCGATTCAAAATGCATTTTATCCGGTTTAGTAATTTTGCTTATATTGGGTTCATTGCAATTTTATAAAGTTTTGGCCGATATTTTGTTGAAATTTTACAAAGTTTTATTGAAATATCATGATGTTTTGATCGTCATTCCTGTTACCATGGTGTTCCGCGCAAACAGGAATGGCGCTAAATATAAGTCGCCAATTTCGCCAAGGGGCGCCCTCAAGTATATTTTTACCGATTTCAGTATCGCTGACAAATAAATTTAGTAAATAGTACAATTTTCAATGAATTTAGTATAAAGTTGATCCCGATTAGAGGTTTCAGGGTGCAAAACTTAAGGAAATCAATACTTTTCTTGAAACAAAAGTTTTTCCATAAATAACTCCAATGTACTCCATTTTAAATTTATTAAATCTCAACAAATATTTGTTTCTAGATACATCGTGCATGGAAACTTTCTTAAAAGTTAACTGGAATTTCTTAGCAAATTCCTTTGAAATCGCATTTCTTTACATTATTGAGAAGTGCCTTTTTATTTTAACTATTTCAATTCATAAATAGAAACCCGCTAGTTCGATGAATTACCAGTAGAACCAGACTTTAGACATATGGCGAGAGATGTTAGAAAATAATGATTAAAAAAATTCAGGTTTATATTCGTAATTTATTTTAAAACAAGAATAAAAAAATTTATGTAATGATTGTTGTTAGATTGTATAATACTGTTAATAATTATTTTATAAATATTTTTTATCCTTATCTTCCACAAAATATTTGGCTGTTATTTTAAAAAGATCAGGAAATAAAAGCTTTTTACATAATAACTTAATAGAAGAACTTGCTTAACTAAATTAACATTCTTTAATATTGATAGAAGCAAGAAATATTTTTCTTAAAAACAAAACTCGGATGTCAACCGGTAATTGTTTATAATAGATAGCGTAAATATAAATCCAATAAAGAATTATTGGTATTAATCAAGGTGGTGAGGAATTAAAAGCATCAAAAATTCATTTGACGAATTAAACAAAAAATCTATTGGAAGGAACTCCTTTGGTGCTTCCAACGCACATAAACTGGCTTTGATAGTTTAATTTCCATACTCTGTGATTGCCTTAGATAATGTTTTGTTTGATTTTGATAGAATAATCGTTTCTCCATCTTTAAATTTTGGATTAAAAATGTACATTAGTTTTTTTTAAACTTTATTCAGGACAAATATGTATTTTATAAAGAAAGTTGTTGTTGTAGCACGTTGTTGTCGCACTAAAGCTGCACAATGGGCTATTGGCGATGGTCTGGGAAACATCCCTAAGGATGATTCGAAGACATGCCATCACAATTTTGATCCTCTGCAGAGGGGATTGCACCCCCGTTTCGGTAGCCCGACGATCTACACGAAGTCGATCACTTTACGGTAAAACAGTTTAACGAGGAACAATACCGCACACCCTGGGTCTTTATATAGAAAGAGCGATGTACAACACGCATGTAAATAAGACGGTAATTTTTTAATGAAATTATTATGGTCACTAACGCTGACCGCATACTGGAGAAAGAAAAGGCAAGCAGAAGGGAAAATAACGAAATGCAAACAAAAGATTAGTCAACTCCTGAATGTTTTTTGCATCCACAGTGTACTGCTCACCAGAGAAAAAAATAAAAAAAATATAAGTAACGAATTGGGAGAATCTATTAGCACAAGTATACATATATTCAACCGAATGTAATTGAAATGGTTCCTCGGGGAGCGCTAACACAATATTCGAAAAGCACGCATATGTGAATGTGATAGGTACTATATTTATGTCGCACTAGAGCTGCAGAATATGCTATCGGGAATGATTTGGAAAACATCTTTGAGAATGATCCGAAGATAGACCATTACAACTTTCTTTCATGTTCTACTGGGACCCATGTCCTTACGATCAATCGACTGCGGAATAAAAGTCCCATAACGTTTTCTTTCAGTACTATGTTTAATGTAGTTTTCAGTTCCATACAGTTTCCTAACCTAAACAAATTTGATCTATTTGAAAATCAAGACACAGACTAACATACTTTCTACCTTTATCACTCTCCACACGCTATTGGTGAAAGCACGCGAAGTGTTGCCATAGGTAGAGAATTCTGTTCCACTCCACCTGTAGCTCATTGCGATTGCTAATTACAAACACAGGGAAATTTTTATGCATTTATTTAATTTTAAGGACAACAAATTTCCCTTCTTTCTTTGATAAATGCACAGGGTTGATTAAACAGCTTGTGTGAGTGTGCAATAAAATTTGAGTGAATTTTAAAATCACAGTTGTAACTTTACAGTACGTAACTTTTTTTTCCCTTTTGCATTTTTCTTCTTCCCTATCATTTCGCGTTTCCCATTTTTGTTTTATTTACTTTTATAATGCATAAAATTTGATTATTGGTGATCGAAATGGGCTACAGGTGATCTAGAGCAGAACTCTCTACCTATGGCAACACTTTGCATGCTTTCACCACTGGCGTGTGGAGAGTCATAGACGAAGGAAGTACGTCTGTTTCTATCTTGATTTTGTATATAGATTAAAATATTTTAAGTTTGGAAACTATATGGAACTGAAAACTACTTTACACATATTTCTAAAAGAAAGCATCATGAAAATTTTAAAAAATATTTTTTTGAATTAAAAGCGAAAAATATTAAGAAAAGGAAAAAATATCGTAGTACATTCCTATACAACTGAAAAGAGGAGGAGAAGGAAGGGAGATAGACCAAAGGCATGGAACCGGTCTTCTCCCCAGGTGGCGTATTCGAGCGTTGCGATCACCTCTCAAATTATGATGTATTAAATTATGATGTATTAAATTATTATGATAAAATTTGATGTAATTTGAATGCGCGCTTCAACGTTGATCAAAGTTTTCGATAGTGTCAAAGCACCTTAAAGTGAGAAGGGCTCCGCAGACGTATGAGTAAAGTTTAACCTTAAAAAACTTTCAGCGGTTACTCCATGTTCACTGCTCGTCCGGTTGTGCTGATTTACCCACTCTTCCCTCCTTCCTCCCTTTAGAAGCTGAAAGAAAGCCGGTACTTGCTTAATTGTTATTATTCAGCTATTTATTATAAAAAATCAGTTTATTTTATTAAACTTTTATCCATCCTGCCGTAAAAATGAGCGGAGACGTAAGTTTTTATTTCCATCTTCAAGTTAATAATTACCTTATTTTGTATGTTTATTTAATTTTACTCAACAATGCATGTATGAGGAAAATGGCTCAATGACAATACTTAAAATAACCAATTTATTTTAATATATTTTAAGTATTTGTGTTTTTAAGTAGTGTAAAACTTACTTTTCATATTTTTGGGATATTTTTACTCTTTCTCCTTTTACTGATTCTTTTTCTTAATAATTTTATTTAACATAAAACATTCGATAGCTATTCAAATTAATTACTTATATAATAGTGTAGCGATAAAAGTGACGAAGACAATGTTTAAATTAACTACAAATCTAAAATGATTATATATTTTAACACAAGTTTTATGTGATTCATGATGACGTTTCATTGCTTAAGATAATTACAATTCTAAGCAAATTAGTCTTTGATTACTGTCTTCAACAACATTATACAGCATGCTCTTGGAAACCAGTTTTAGTGATTGCCATATAAAAAAAACATTGATTTTTAGTTAAAATTAGACTTAAAAAAATATTTTATTTTGTAAATTTAAAGTTAAGTGGGATTGTTATGTTGTTTTCACAAAAGTTATCTGTTTTGAGCTGATAATTGCTTATGTGTAATATAAAAAGTAGTAAGCAAAATGTCCCTAGATTTACTGGTTCCAGGACTGCATACCTATTTTTCCTACTTTTTATAAATCTTCTGTCATTTATGATATTCCCCCTTAAAACAGTGATAAGCCAAGAAAACAGAATGACTCAAGGTCAAGTATTGCAACTGCACCTGTTTTTCAATTTATTCTTTGAAAAAAATTTAAAAGGTACAGCTAAATTAACTTACATATCAACCTTATAAGCATGGTTGGCAGGTTTTTGACATGTGACAGTTTTTGACGGTTTAAACCGTCACGTCAAAAACCTCACTGTCAAAAATGTCAAAAACCTATATTCATATGTGAAATTTAATTAATACATAAAATTTATGTATTTTTTATAAAGGATAGTGTTTCTAAATATGTTCTAGAAAAAATAAATTTAAAATTTTGAAGAAACACTTATATTTTGAATAGTAACCAAAATCTTGTACTTTTGAAAGCTCACATCTTTTGTAATATTATGTATTCATTTTCATGTGTTATTGAAAATCTGCAGTGATATTATTAAGAAATTTATTTATAACCAAATTTAGTGTATAGTATAGATTATACTAAAAATTAGACATTTTTAAAGATAAACATTAGCAGTTTTGTACATTAGACATCTTTTAAAGAAAAATCTTTTTAATATTCTTTTAAATCTTCTTAATAATCTTTTTAACATAAGACAATACAAATTTAAGTGCTTTCTGTTAAATACACAGAGTAGTTAGTGTCGATTTACAGTATATTCAGCCTATTCATTTACTATGCTGAAAATTTAGTTTATCCAAATACTTGTGAATTTCATTTTGCTGAATACTATATAGTTTTGTTGAATATCTAAATATTCAGCTGTTGAATAATTACTTCTTGCTTTCAAGATATGCATTATTTGTATTCTTAATACAAGTGGAGAAAAAAAAATTAAGAGATAAAAATTGTTTTAAAATGATAAGTGTAATAATTATAAATAAATATAATAAACAATATGAATTATATTTATCATTATTCACAAATATAACTACTTTTAAATTCAAATTAACATACTGGATAATAAAGATATTCGGTATAACATTAAAAAAAATTTTTTATACACTTGTATCTTGTATCAAGTTTGTATTTATACAACATAACTTGTAAGTTCCTTATAAATATTAGTTATATGTTCCTTATATGTCAAAAATGCATAGTAATAAACTTTTAATTTTCTTAAGTATCAAAAAAAAAAAAATTTTTTTTTTTCAAAATATAAATATTTAAAAAAATTTTGTGCAAAATTTTTCTGCACATGCATTTGAATATAAATTTCTGAGATTTTAAATCTGTTATTTTACCTTAATTTTAATATTTTAAAACTTGCTGATTGCCTATAGTATAATTAAATTTCAATATAATGCATGGCAACTGTTGGTAGTTTTGAAGTTTATATATTTTCTTGGCAAACTTCAGTTTTTGACGGTTTAAACCAGTATTATACCCTTGTCATGTCAAAAACCACTTTTTGACGTCAAAAACTCAACCCTGCTTTTCAGTAAATATTAACATTTTTTAGAGTATAACTCATTATTTATCTATTGAAATTATTAATTGATTTATTAATTGAAAAATAAAACTTTAGTTTTATTTTTCAATTTTGCCTATTCCTTATTCTGAAAATTTCCGTAGCATGATCAGTGTCAGAATGATCGCCAAGTCTTGGCAACTTGCGGGCAGTGATCTGTGAGAAATTTTTAAAAAAAAAACATCATAGAAAAGGACCACTTGTAACCACCCCCGAGCAAACGTCCATGTTTTTTGTTTTATTTTTAAATTACAAGTTTGACCATTAATTGGCACCTTGGCAATAATAGTTGGCACAACAGATCAGGATATTCCGAAACTTTGACCAATCTTGTTGGCATGAGGTAGAAAAAGTATTGTCAATTTAGAATCTTCGTCAATAAAAACATCTTGTAAGTGTAAAAAATTCGAGAGCAATTATATTTAAATTATATACTTTTTATAAAGCAATTTAGGACTTAAGTCAAAACTTTGTTGCTTGAGTTTTCATCATAAATTTTTGTAACATTTTGTCTTTTTTATTGTAGAAACCAGAACCTGAACAATTCCGTAAGCTGTTTGTGGGTGGCCTAAATTACAAAACCACTGAAGAGACATTAAAAAGTCACTTTGAACAATGGGGAGAAATAGTAGACTGTGTAGTAATGAAGGATCCTCACACAAAAAAATCAAGAGGCTTTGGGTTTGTAACATTTAAGAGAGCACACATGGTGGATGACGCTCAAAATGCAAGACCTCATAAAATTGAAGGCAGGGAAGTTGAACCTAAGCGAGCAGTTCCAAGAGAGGTAAATATCTCATTTATGAAATCATATTTAGTTTTGTTTTCTTGTAACAAAGAAACCCAGTAGTGTGTAAAGCAATCATGAGAAGTATAACTATTAAAATAATCCCATTTTGGGTGTAAGCCAAGGCTTAATTTTTAATTATTATTAAACCATTAGCATTAGAACTAATAAGCATATTTATAGAACTAAAATGGTTATTTTTGCATTTTTTATTGAAAATTATTGATTGTTACAAAAAGTTTATATAAAGTACTTAGGGTTTGTATGAAACTATTAATTTGTATCTTTCATGTATGGGAGAAAATTCATTTATCTTGTCGAAACGGAAATAATTCACAAGCTATTTTCTGTTTTTTACTGCATTTAATCAAAGAGTTATTAAATTTTTTCGAGGTTCTTTCATTCTGACTTGTAAAGCAGGAAGGAACTTGGAATTCTCAAGAATTAATGACTAAAAATAAAGGGCTTGTCTATCTTTTTTATTGTTATTAATGTAGTCAGGGTTGCCGCAGGCATCAATGGCAACCTTTATTTGTTTGGAAATGCTTTTAAAAATATATATATTTTTGGGAAAAGGGAAACTATTGGGAGAGTTTTCTGTACTATGTTTTTTAGCATAAATTTGGTTGAAAACCTGCAGCCCACTGGAACTTCTAAACACAATGTCCCCCCCCCCTCCAAATGAAAAATTTTGAATTGCAAATTAGTCCCCACTTCTTAGTTGCACAATTTGCACTGACTCTATTATAAGTCTTTTTTTAATTCTCAATCACATTTTCAATGGTTATTGCTATGAAATTCTGCATGGTTTTAGAAAACCAAATTTTTATTTTTAATGTGATTGTGACATTAGGATGCATGAATTTTGAAATTTGAGTAATCATTTTTCGCAATTTTTATGTTTGCTATATCAATTATTGATAAAATGGAGAAAATTTACTAAAAGTGTTTTTTATTTTTAATGAGTCTTTTTTTTTATGAATTCTAGTTATTAAAAGTATCATATTTGCCACCAACTTGACTAAATGATTCATGGTATATGACATGTCATTTAATATTTTTGTATTTATTGAGGCAACTATTTTCATTAAGTATTCTCATCTCAACTAACTACTAAAAGCAACTATTTTATTCATTTCTTTTTTCTGTGGCAACCCTGTGTACTGCTTAAATGTTTCTTTGCCTTCAGTGGTATTTTTAATTTTATGTATAATTTCTTTTTCTTTAGGATTCTGGCAAACCTGAAGCTCAGGTAACTGTTAAGAAATTATTTGTTGGCACTCTTAAGGATGATGTTGAGGAAGAAGATCTTAAAGAGTATTTTGGTGAATATGGTAATATTGTTAGTGTGACCATTGTTGTTGACAAAGCTACTCAGAAAAGAAGAGGCTTTGGATTTGTGGAGTTTGATGATTATGACCCTGTTGACAAAGCTGTGTGTAAGTTTTTTGCTTGATTAAATAATTATAGTATAAAATGATTGTAGTTTTTGTAAAAGCATTTAGTATATCTGGTTACGTAGCTGTTGGTTCTGAATCTTTTATTTGTTTGAATACTAAGATATGTATTTCTAAATAATTAAGCATTAATGTTCTAAATTTTTCCATTTTGAGCTTTATTGATTAAATATTACAACAATTTTGTAAATTCATATACTTATTTCGGTTATAAATTCAAAACTGTGATTAGTATGATAAGGTTAATCATAAATTTTACTCAAGTTATTGCAATCATTAATGAAAAGCTTGTAAGTCAATTTAAGTTAATAGTTAGTGATCCAATGATATAGTTCTTGTATTTCTTTTTAATTTTAAAATTCCTTGTATTTAAATTTTTTTTGATGTTGTGCTTGCAAAAGTTAGCATTCAATTTATATTATTTGATAAGAAATCTGCTGTGTTTTTACTTCTATTTCTTAACATCCATGCTGTCATTTTAAATATTGATTATACAGTACACTCTCGATTATCCGTGCGCGGATTGTCCGTGCTCTCACACAAATATAAAGAGAAACATTTTCAAGATTAAAAATATTTGATTCATGAGGTTATAACACTACCAAATTTTTGGAAGCAATATTTGTTATTGGATTGCAGTATATGGAATATAAGCAACATGATCAAAGGTAAAATCTTCTACGTTATCACGATCTTGGAGAAAGATCATACCGCTTGATGAACAATCCTCTTCAGATGCTCAAGAAAAATATGATAACAGTATTCTCGAACTAGCAAAAGAAATCTAAGGTTTCGAAATTCTTGATGAAGAAAATTTAGAAGATTGGTTTCAAAGTGATGTATGTGAGCCTGGCTTCCAGTATTTGACTGATGAAGACATCATTATGCTGTTAAATCAAATAGTGATGATAGTAACTGATGCAGAAGATGTAGTAAATGAATGAAATACAATTTCCCATTCTGCTGCTCTGAATTAACTTAATTAGATTATATGGAAGAATTTGATTACAGTGACATTACTGCGGATTTTTCTTTAATAAAAGGAGTTTTCGGATTGTCCATGCGACCTGTCTCGGTGATTAACCTGGATAGTCGGGAGTGCACTGTATTTATATTACACTTGAGTTAATTTGTATTTCGGCTTTTCAGTAAGAAAACATACTATCAAGGGTAAACGAGCAGAAGTGAAGAAGGCTCTCTCCCGGCAAGAAATGGATACCATTAAGCGAAAGAAAGAAATGGGTGGTGGATATGGAGGTGGTCGTGGCGGAGGAGGTATACTTTATTTCAATACCTCATTATTGTGCTTAAATAATTGTTCCTAATTTATATGTATGTGAAATTTTATTGGTCTAATCCAGGGTTAGTTTAGAAAGAAACATTAAATCTTATTAAAAAGTTTCTGTTATTATTTATGAGTAGTTTTAATTTGAAATAAATCAAAAGAGCTGAATCTTAAATTTTCTAATGAGAATTTTCCACTTTTATGTTTAAATACTGATTTGTCTTTCTTTACATCAACATTAATATATCATTTTTGAATGCTTATTAATATCTATGATATTAATATTGTAGCTTTCTTGTAACGATATAAAGTTAAATTGATATGAGTAAAATGTTCTAGAAATGTTTAACAACACCAATTGCATTTTCTAATTACTTTTAAAGCCAATTAAATAATGTAATTATTGAACAGCAAGTTAAAATAAAAAGTAGCTGAAATTTTTCTTTTTTTGATCTTTTATAAAGTCTCGTTATGCTTGTTACTTACGATCAAAGTGCTGGTCAAGGTTTTACATACTTCTTGGCTTATTTCGTGATTTATATTTATATATTTATTTAAATAATCAGTGTTAAAAAAAATTTCTCTGGTGCATATAATGATTTTGTTCATTTTTGCAATATTTTCAAGACTAATTTGGTATTAAGCAGCAATGCAATTTTTATATTTTACTGTAACAACAATTTTTTTTTTTTTTTAAATTTTATTTAATGTTGCATTAAAAGCAAATTGCAGATATTATGGTGTGCTATAAAGAAAAGGTCTTGAAGGGAAAGTCAAAAATTTCAGGATAACTACAAACAATAATATTATGAAACTTAAAACTCTGTTGTGTAAAGCTGAATGGGGAAAAAATGTTAATACTTCAGAATTAAAACCATAGTACTGAAGCTCATGCTATTTTATATGCAACATGACTTTTTTTTTAAAAAAAAAAACCTTTTCATCGTTCCAATATTTTCAAGTATTTTTAATTATAAATATAAATGCTATATTGGTTTAAATATATTAAAATTTATATTGATTCAAAATTTAATACACTTAAGAGATTAAATAAACAAATTCAATGGATTGATACTGGATTAAATTAAAAAGAAATAGGTTGAAATTATACAGGGTGCGAAGCGTTTGTAAAAAGTACTTAAAGGTGCTTTTTGGGGGATTTCGTTTTTAAAAGCTTTTAAAGGTGCTTTTTTCAGCAGGCGTTTTTAAAAAGTGCTTTTTTTTTCATGGATAATTTTTTTTTTACCCTTCAGTGGTATCTGATGGATCCCATGCATTTCACAAAAATGGGGTGTTTGCTACGTAATCATTCACGCGGACTTCATGTTGTACCCACGTTATGACTTGCGCGCACTCTTGAAACCGAAACCCGAGTGCTCCAATTCGGATAGAGAATATCAGATCCTTATGAAATGTTTTTCTTTTTAATTTATTTTAATTTTATTCTTGTTTATTTTATTTTACTTCTAACACTTTTTTGACATAGGGGGGTAGGGTACTTTTGTTCTGAGTTCAGAGTCAAGTTGAATTCGCTCGGTGATGTGGGAAAGTACTGATTGTTTCGATTTATGTCCGTTTCTTTTTGGGTTTTTTTAACGCTAAAACTGTTTATAAAGTTTTTGTTTTTCAATAATATCATTGATTGAATATGAATTTTTTGAGTGCTTGAAAATTTTTGTAAAGTGCTTGAGAAGTTTTTAAAGTGCTTATTTTTGCTTCAAAGATTTGGCTGTGCACCCTGTTATAGATTGTATACAGTTCAAGGATGAGGTTTTTCCACTTTTTAGCGGATTTCCGCTTATTTCACTTTTATCTCTTGAATTTCAACTTTTTTTTTTATCAAAAATTCAGATTTTCTAAAAATTTCAATTTTTTTTATAGGTATTCCGCTTTTTCAGAAAATTCACCGATTTTCTAAGAGAAACAGAAAATTCGAACTACATAGCTACCAATCCTTTCTCATTTTTACTTATTTTAGCTATTTTCTCCCCTTTTACACTCAGCAGATAAGATTTTCCGAATTTTTTACCCGCCCTCCAGATAAATCCAATTTTCGTAGTTCAAACGACGCTGCTTCTGACAAACCTTTTAGAGGTCTGCTAATATCTCTATTCTTATTCATATGTTTTTAATATCAAACATAGCTTTTCATATTTGCATGTTGCGATTCTTATTTATGGGATTTAAAAATCCGATATTGTGATTCGTATTTACGCCTTTTTAAAAACCTATGTAGAGATTGGTATTCACTCAAGTTTAAAATTCAATGTCTTGATTTGCTCGTGTGGTTTATAATGTCAACCATTGATTTTCGTATTTATACATGATTTTAAAATAAGGCATTGGGATTTGCATTCACGCATTCTAAAAATTATGCATCATAATTCTTATTTATGCAATCTAAAAATTGCGCATCATGATTCGTATTTACGCTATCTAAAAATTGTGATTTGTATTTACGCGTTTTAAAAATTCTATATCCCAGTTTGTATTTTCTCAATCGTATATCTAGTTTCATATTCATGTGATTTCAAAATTCATAATTGTTATTCATATTCACGCAACTTTAAAATCAACTATCGCGATTCTTGTAAGAAGTAATTTTTTTTAAAAATTAGTTACTATAAAGGTGACTGTTTTTCTAACGACGATTATTAGTATATGTAAGTGTTACAACATCAGAGAAACTGGTAGGGAATATATTAAAAACTTTCTGTGCTTGCAAAGAAGAAAAAACAGTATTTGTCACAAGATGTTTGAAGATGGACTAACGACTAAATGTAGCAAACATAAAAGATAAAGCAAACAAAAGCAATCACTTAAAAAAGGATTTAATTTTTTTTTTGGGGGGGGGAGTAATTAACTCATCATCAAAATTTTACTTATAATTGCTGTTATTTATGCTATAAAATGCAAAATTCTTATCAAATGAAAAACAATTATCTAAACAGTTGCTGATTGTCATGTAATTTTTCAAACTAAAATAGCAATTTTTGTATGTTAAGGAGTTACTTTATATTTCTACTTCACTGTTATTGATGTGTTTCAGAGGGCTCTACTTAGATTAGACTATGATATGAACATAATGGTTCGGTCCATTGTTACAGTTTTTGTTTTCAATATAATTTAAAAAGTAATATTACTGATATATTTACTATAAATCACATAGCAGTATTTATTAAAAGAAATGAAATATTAATGTAAATTCTCAGTAGTTTTAATTTGCTAAACCAGGTAGTTTTTCAAGTAATAATTGTATGTCAACACAAACTGTCTGGAATTTATTATTAAAGGGTTGCGCTTGCGTAAAATTTACTATCGTGGAAATTCAGCTTTTTTGCCTTTTGGCTAATCTCATCCCTGACAGTTACAGTATAGCATTACTTATTGTAGACAAGCAATGGGTGGGGTGGTTTATTGAAAACATTAATACTTAACTAAAGTAATTTGGTTATATGAATTACTTTAAAATAGTTTAGATAATTTTAATTGAGGTTTTAAAATATTATCTGATTCTGATTTATTGTTAAAAGCTAATTATGAAGGCTCCTAATTACTTTGAAAATAGCATGATCACTAGAATGGACCTTTTAAAAGTAGCATATTTAAATTATTGTCAAATAAAGATGTATGCTTTGTAAATGTTCTTAAGAGGCATTATGAATTTGAAAACTCTACATTTAGCAGATACCCTGTCTGTAATTTTTAAAATATCTTGTGAGTGTGAGAGAATGGTTAACTAGTTATTTAAAGAAGTAGAACTCCACTTGTTCTATATTAAATTTTCTGAAATATATATTCAAAGTTTCTCTATTGTTTATATATCCATTCTATTTGTTATTTATTATGTTAACAAAAAATTTTTTTAGATGGATATGGAGGTGGTTATGGTGGAGATAGCTACGGAGGTGGATATGGAGGAGGAGCCTGGGACAATGGAGGTGGCTATGACAACGGTTACGGAGGTGGCTCTGGATATGGACCTAGTAAGCTTTTATTACCTGTTTCATTTTATGACTAATCTTTTTAAATGTCATATGTCAGCCTGTTAAAGTTTATTATTTAATAGTTGTTGAAAGGGAATTTAGTAAGTTTGGTTTTGTTCTTCAGTTTGGTTCTGATCTATAGTATTCTAGCATTTATTGGTGAAACTGATCATTGAATTTGTTCTTAGGTTATGATGGATAAAACAGGTTAAATGTCTTCTTTTGTCGCAATGAAACCTGCACTGTTCGGCACGTTTCTTCCCGTTAAATAATTATCAAATGTTAAAATAATATTTAGAGTTTAATTTATTTCCATTAATACTATTTATTTTTAGCTTGATCTAAAATTAAAAAGCAATTAATAAGAAAAATAAACTTGCAATTACCTCAATACAGCCAGGTTTACAGGAGGATTCATACATTCAACTAAACAGACTGCTGAGTATATAGTTCGGGCTCAATTTCCAAACACTTTTTTCTTTTTGTATGCATATGAAAATATGTTACATCTTAATTTTAAGAAAATGGGGTGGAGAATAGAAAAAGCTATATATGTAATCATCTCAAATACGTGGTCGGCAATGGCAACCTATTTCAGGTGCCTGGATGTCAATTTCTTTAGGAAATAGGGTTAGCTGAAATTCATATTAATTATAATTTTTAAATTCTGTGTAAAATTTCAGTAAAGTTTTTAAAAAAATATAAAATGTATTAATAAATATTTTTTTAAAGAAAAAGAGTTGGAGAAAAGCTTTTCACTCTCTCCAGAATTTGATTTAATTTTAAGTTATTCTTGCTAATCTTACCGCTAACTAATTGTAATGGTTTTTGCCTAATGTTTTTCTGGCAACAAATTTAGCTTGATTACCTTTCTATTTGCAACCTCTAACATATTGTAGATTTGTTGGTATAAGAAATGTAGCATCAAATATATTTTTATTCAGAATGTTCACTCAAGAGGTCCAGTTGTGATACTATGAAGTTTAAGTTTTAAACAGGTTTGTTCGAAAAGAACATCCTGATGAAGTTTTGACATTTCTGTACGTAAGTTTTGTTTTGCTTTTATTTTCAAGGTGGTGGAAGTGGATGGAGAGATGATTATGGTAGTAGTTATGGAGGTGGACCAATGAGAGGTGGTGGTGGATATTCTCAACGCAGCCAAGGTCCCTATGGTGGTATGTTTCTGTCACATAAGTTTTTATTTTATATTGTATTATATATAAATATAATTTAATACTGATTGTGCTGAGTCTTCACAAAAGATTTTTTTTTTAAATTTATCTCTTTATTTTAATCAAATCATATAGCTGTTTTTCAAATATCGTTGATAAACTGACCTGATTGCCTGACGTATTTAAATGGATTTTTATTGCAAATTTATTATTTGCAGCTAGGCTACCAGCGGAAGTGTTTATCAGGGGACTTATAAGGTGAAAGCAGTATAATTTAGAGAAAGATAGTAAAACTTATAATTTTTTAAAAATAAAAATGGGTAACAAAATATTAAAAGTAAATAAAATTACTGAGCTTCCCATCTTAATTAGCGAACTCATGGTATCTGTCTTATTTAATTTAAGCTTGTAATATTAGCAGCTCTGCAAAAGTGTCTTTCAGCTAAGAATGAACTAAGTGTGTCATTAGGGGGAAATTCTTAGAAAAAAAAGATTTTTTTTCATTTTAAATTGCTAGGTTTTAAATGTTTTAAGGTAATATTTTGTTGCATCCTCTGAAGAAGCCTGTGTAATTTTTTTTAAATTGTGGACTGTAAATAGCAACACCTTGTTGCTGAAATTAAGCATGCAATTTCTTGATGCAAGTTTTGAGTAGGAGTGAACAAGTAACAAACTCTCCTAGTTTTTATTTAATTTAAATTTTTTTGTGTAGGTGGCCGAGGTGGCGGATTCAGAGGTGGTCGAAGATAAAAGCATTTATTGTCTTGGGGTAATTTTTTCTTATTTTTTAGATGTTTTTTTCTCATTTTTATAATCATCTTTGACTCTGTAAGTTATGTGTAATTCATCAAACAATTTTTAATCATAACTTGATTAAGAGATAGACAAAATAACAAAATATAACAAATAATAAAAGTAGACTTACTGATAGATAAATTAGTTTCTGAGGAAGTACCAAAATTTCAAAATTGCCTAAAATTTTCAGCAATCGATCACAAGTCTTTCACCTTTTAATCCAAACTTTTCTGTAATTTAGAGCAAGCCCTAGACTACAGAATGAACTATAACACTAATTCTCGGGGCAAATAAGAAAGCAATTCTTCAGATAGTTTCATGTCCGGAAAATGTGACTTGAACCAGTTTTGTGTGCTGTTGCAAAGTCGTTTTTTACAATGTCCAGTTTAAATTGCAGAAGTGCTTTTAGAGTGTCCTGCTGGTACACTTTTTGATTTATTTTAATGCAGTCATCCAGATCTGAGTTTTAAACCACTTTGCATCTCAGACCATGAACATCTACAGACTTATGAGATTTTTGAACAGAAAAGTGCTTCTCATCCGTTAAAAAAGAATCTGCCAAGGGATAGCTTGTGGCGCATTGCTGAAAATTTCAATAAGCTTGTGTGCCTCTGCATCCCTGCCATGGATGGTCACTTGATAACCAATTTAAATTTTATTAGTGGTGGCTTACTCTTATTATTTGTTATATTTTGAAAATTATTTTTTGAAAGTTGCATTACGAATATTTTACCCGGGCTTTTTTTCCCCCTGCACTTTATGTATATTGCACGAAATGTAATTGGTTTTGATTTGTTTTCAAGGAAATGTTATGCCTTAAAATGAAATGTTACTTTTTTTTTATTTTAGGATCTTTTTAAGTTATTTCTCAGCTATCCACAGCAATGCTTTTAATATACTATTCAAATGGCTAATCATCTGAAAGTAGTGAAGGAATTGGAATCATATTAAAGAGCCTGGATAACTTTAAGCATCAATCTCATTTACCAACGATATGTGGATTATATACTGTACATTAATTCAAACCATCTTGTCTTATTTCCCCAAGACTGGACTCATGTATCATCTCAGTATTTAATGTCATTTTTTATCGGACATAGTAAATTCCATCTATTTGCTTTTAAGCTCCATCATTTCATACAGTTTAATAAATAAATGTGAGTCACTTTGGGAATTTGTTTTCAATTATTCTGTAACACTGTTTTAGATTTATTTCTTAAAAACCTTGTTCTATGTGTTTTTCAGTAACATGCAAAAGTTTTTTTAACATGTGTCAGCTTGTAAATTTAAAACTTTTATGTGTCCCAATTTTGGGTTTTAGTGTAAAACCATACACATATTTCATTCTCTTCCAAGGGCTATGCTCTTTAAAAATATTTTTATTTTTTAATCCAGCACCAAGGAATTAATTGACTGTTTTATATCCTATCTGTCATAAAAGTGCCTATTTTTTTATACTCATATTTGATTAGTACTGACATCTAGTTTAAAATAAACTATCTACAGTTACCTTAAAAAATATCCTGGTACTGCCTTCTGGTGTGTAAAATGAGAAATAAAAAGTTTTCCGGGCAAAAGAGATGAGTTAGTTTTATTCCTATTGGTGCGTTGCTACTGAACACTCCAGTCCGGGAATATCACGGGAGTGGGAAATATAGGGCAAAACCTAACCCCGACATTTTCACAGGAGCGAGAAGGAAGGGGTTAAGGAGAAATGTAGACATTTAAGAGCAAGTTTTTTTTAACAATTGTAAATGAGCCAATTCAGCTAGGGAAACTTTTCCAAGATTTACGCTAAGAAACCTGAGAAGATAGTTATATATATCTACTCTAGAGTCACTATGCTCAGGAATTTCTTAGCTTATTACAAGAAAGGCCATAAAAAATTTACAAGACAAAGTGATTACCACTTGGTCAATGTTGAAATGTTTTATTTTGGTCGTCTGTAGTTAATATTTTGAGTCAGGGTGGTTCAGGAGATAGGGCGTTTGCCTCCCTATGGGATGATCTAGATTTGAATCCCAGCAGTAACTGGTTGATGCCAATTCCTGGCTCATACCAACCACATTACTGGAGTAAAATGTCTTCAGTGGTAGATGTATCATGTGTTACAATCCCCCTCCCGTCAAGCTAACCGTGGGAAGTTTTTCTCTTTATGCAATGCAAATTCTGGTTAATTTCATCTAAAAGTTCTCCAGGAAAGCGAGTTTGTCATTATTACCTTTTAGTGGGAAACTGACATGTTAAGTCAGAAGTAGCAGCAAGATGGGTTTCCTTTAAAATTGATGATCCATGGCACCAATTATGTTTCACATTGTGATAGTGTTGATTTAAACTGGATGCAACCATAAGTAAAAGAAAAGTTAAGATTGATTTTAAGCTACTAAGTGAAAAAATAGGATGTGTAACCTAAAGACAGTAACATTAATATTTTAAAGAGTTGATTCAGGCTAAAATAATGGTCATTGTTAGTCACCATGTATGTTAATTAAAGGAACGGTTCTTGATTACATAGCTTTAACAATTAAAAAAAGATTTTGCCCACATGGCAATTACCAAAAATCAAGATATTAAGCATAACATAAATTTAAAACCAGGCATCGATTTAAACTTCTTCTTTTTTTTTTTTTTTTTTTTTTTTTTTTTTTTTTTNTTTTGACTTAGGCTCACAATCACCCCTGTTATCTGCCTTTAGGTTTCAAAATAAAGTTGTGATGCACTTATTTACAACATACTGTTAAATATTTTTGTTACAATAATTGATCCCAATTAATATTTCAGTTATCTGTTTTTTAATTAACCAGTATATTGTACACTTAATTATGTATGATATATGGAAATATTTTACGACACATTCATTACATTCAAATTTTTACGACGCTCGTTACGTTGCAAATATTTAAATAATGAAGTCTTGCACAAATGAGTTTTGAGTTTTCTTATTGAATGGTATAACGTTTGTTCCAGATTTCTAAATTTTCTTTTAGGCAAGATGCATTTTCGCATGTTTTTATATTTTCAAAGCACTTTAAAATAACTCGTTAAGTATGTTTTAATTATTGTATCAAGTTATATTTTAATTCTATTATTGTCAGGTAAAGATAAAAGAAATTATGGAACAGTTTGTAAATTTTTTTTTTACTTTATTCTGAATTCATCCCTAAAGAATTCAATTTAAAAATTCTGGCTTGGTTTTTTTTTTTTTTAAGAAGAAAAAAATTTACGGTTTGCAAATTTTTTCTGTATAATATTTTTCTGGCTATACTACAACATATTTTTTTATTTTGTTAAATGAAATAAATTAATTGAATGTTAGGAATAAAATTAAAATAAATTGATGGAATATTAAATAATTCAAATAAAAACAGTTAGGAAAAATGGAAAACAGAAATTATTTTATTATCAAAAGTCTTAAGAAAAATATTTTTTTAAAAACGTTGTTAACAATATTTTGAATATTACAAATATCAAGTTTGCAACTTAACATTTTATATAGAAGTGATAAAAAAAGATTTTATTTCCGTATACAAATGCCTGAATATAGTTTTCTCCTACATTCGCTAGTTGATAGGGATTTTTGCGATTAATATTTCACTTTACAGAATTTCTGAGTGGAGCCACTTACACAGCATATTAAAATGGATACCTTTTATTATTTAGTGACCCTTTACAATATGACCATGTGTTACTACTTTATGAGAAGTACAGGGATGTGTCATTGTCTTACACCACGTTTTAAATATGCTAGACCCAGTGTTTTCATCATAGAAAAAAAATGGGTGAGAATTTCTCACCCTTTTCTCAAAAACAGGGTGAGATATCAGAAAGTTAAGTGAGATTTCTAAAAACTAAAAAAACACAAATAGACTTGAAAAAAAAATCATCTATATTATATAAAACGCTAATACGTACGCATGTATGTATGTACGTATCAATAAAACCGATGATATTTCTTTTCTCGCGCTGGCAACAGTTTTCATTTTTAATTGATTGGATTCGGCGCGCAAGAGCACGTAGTGAGCAACCAGATAAAAATTTCATAACTGTACATTATCAGGTTGTTCAATTCAGATTCATGCACTAAAAACATGACAATATTTAATTTAAACTCAATTAGGAATTAATTAATTAATTGAAGTGAGAATGCTTTAAAAGGCCGCTGTTGAATTGATATTTTTCTACTGGGAGCTACCTAAACGTCTAAAAAACGTTTAAGTGTTTGTATTG